TCCGTAGTAAAAATATTTAGGCAGTTAGCATCTAATTTTCAGTTATAAACTATGACCTGTGCTTTTCTTCTCAAGAAAAAAATACATAACAACCATATAGCCGTTTTCAATACGTCGCAAATATGTGGTATTTCAGGATGTTTTTTTTTAATTATCCAAAGGGAAAACTCATTTAGGCGTAGGTGGAATCTTCGAACCTACATGACATATAGCCAGGGGCCCTGTACAATCCCTCTTATTACCACATCTAATCGGTGATCAGCCTGGCAAGAAATTCTGTAAGTAGCAACTCATACTTTCACCTGTAAAACTTTTGATTTGTTATATGTGTTTGTTAATGTAAAACCTCCTGTTATATGAGGTTATTTTTACAGTAAAGTTACGTTTCACCGCCGCACTTCAGCCGACAGAATTCACCAGACAGTCGCATGACATGCATATACTCGTATTGTCCTTGTGTAGACGAAGACTTAGTGAAATTTTCACACCGGTAGCATAGGCCAGGACTTCTTCATTCAATCCTCGCTCGTCGCCGTCCGGTTGGATAGCTTACTGTAGATAGTCGTTCGAAACTACCACAAGGGAGCAAGACTGGTTATCTGGCCATTAGTCAGGTCCCCTGGGAGTCTGAAAGTCAGAACAGTACGCCCGCCTATGTTAATTGGCACGGTGCCCAGACTATTGCAGTTGGGGCGGGTTCTTTTCGGGGCTGCAGCTGATATCTTCCCCGCCCGACTCACACGTACAGGAAATACAGTGCGAAATACACGGAGTACATATGAAGATGGGTGGCATCTACCGAAATACAGTATGATTTGATGAGTAAATATCACAGGTGTTATATTTCGGCATAAAATAATATATATGGCCCAGGCGTTAAGGGAAAGACAGAAAACACTTGCCAGCCATTACGATGCCGTCTCGGCGCCATCTTGTTTTTACACGATATTTGTTTTTAGCGGTATCAGAGTCATTTCCACAGTCATGAAGGGTGTTGAGATCTACCGAAAATTGCTTGATGTGGTAAACAAACATAACGGGGTGCCATATTTCAGCATAAAATAATGTATATATGACCCTGGTTACAAGAAAAGTGGTGACCACTAGCGGAACCGTCGGCCCGCCGCTATCTAACTTTGTGTTTATCTTACGCCATGTTTGTTTTTGTCTGAGTCATCTACACACAAAGAGTGGTGAAATCTAAAAATCACAGCATATTTGATCAGTTAATATCACAGGGTGCAATATTTGTCTTCGTCAGAAGGACTATGAAATTGTCTCGCCGGATTGTGGGTGACTGCGGATTTAGCGGAATAACTCTTTAAGGCATGATTCGACGTCCATGATTTTTGGCAGGCAGATTACCGTTGTTAAGTCAAGTGCAAGTTTGAGCTTCGTGGGGCACGTCACTGCAGCGGATTTTTTTGTGTTTGTGGCTTGTTAGCAAAATAACTCAACTATATTTAGAGTCCATTCCAAGTCATCGTGCGGGTTTTTTAATCACATTGCTAATATTTTCTTATTAGTTTCAAATATTTCGAAAATATTATAAATATTCTGAAATTATTATAAAAAATATAAGTACCTGAGTAGCATGTTTTCGAAAATGTTAGAATCATTTGCAAAAATGTTGAAAGTGGCAATCAAGTGGGATCTTAATTTCAAAATGTTTACAAACACAATTTGAAATTCGAAAAGTTTCGAAATTTTCCGAAAAGAAGATTGCTTGTTATTAATCAAGCGCTAATCCCCGCTTCACAGGCGGCTGTTTATGTTTAGACCTCGCGCGGCGGGATGTCCGCGGCCATCTGGACGGGCGGATCGCTTGGAAACCAGCGTCAGCCCCGTGGGCGATTTTACACATTTCCTACGGCGCGTTCTTCGTATTTTCGTCGGTTTCCATAAGCTTCAGCTTATTTATCGGGCTTGATTTCTAGCGCTGTTCTGCACGGCGGTCTGTCACTACGGCATTCTTTCCCACTGCTAGGCGCGTTCGGAAAGGTATCGGGTTACAAGATGCTATTTTGACCTGTTTTGGACTACCCGTAAAATATTTGAAAATAAACAAATAATATTTAGGGGTAAATTTCGTCAAATTAAAATGAAATTATCGTCTTAACATCCTTTAAATGTTAGCTTTTTATGTTAAATCACTGATTTTTAAAAATTTTGCTCAGAAAGACGATTATTTTCGGGTTTCCCAGCGCAAGTCATGTCACGTTTTTAGGCAAACATCGTTCAAACCTGGCTACGTATATTACCCCAGATCCCCGATTTTTTATATTTTTCGCAGACTAGGAATAAGATAAAAAAATCGTGTTTTAGGGATTTTTCAATTTCTCATTTTAAGTCTAGTTTTTGTCGACCTATTGGTGAAAAAATTGCATTTTTGGACACTTTTCTCACTAAATTACCCGTAATTCAAATTTGAGGCCATTTTTCAAAAATCCCTAAAACACGATTTTCGGGACAACCGTTCGGAACGCAGGTCATGTCAGGTGAACCAATCAGAGCGTAGATTGCGCGCTGCTATTTACATATTAAAATGGCGCACGCATGGTTTTGTACAGCGATGTGGAGAACACGTTTTTGTCATGTTTTTTATCCCGGGATTTTCATAGTTTTGACTGATTTTTTTGGCATGCCGTGATTACGCTACAAATGACACACTAGAGGAGACAACAGATGAGTGATCATTTTACAATCGACGAGATGAGTGAAACAGGAATGAAACCTTGCTGATTGCGATTTGTTTTTGAAATTTTGTCTCGTGTTTGTAACGTTCACTCAAGGAGGTTCTTGGTTTTAATTTAACCGTAATATGAAAGATATGAACACGCTTCTGTACTTGCGTGTCTTGATATTTTTTGACGTGATTTGAACTATAGTGTGGGGGAAGTTGGGCAGTGGGGGGAAGGCAGCCGCGGGGGGGAAGCTTGATAAATTTTCGAGAGCAAGTTCCGCGCACTGGAGTTGATTTCTCACGCGGCCGTTTGGGTGGGTGTTTGTTTACATTATCGCTGGTCACTGAGGATCGGGCAGTCAGAATCGCCACGGGATGCCCCCTGTCCTTTCTATTTCTGGGCTGCAGTCGGCTAGGGGGGATTAGTGATTTCACAGATCATTTAGCCAATTACAAACATTTCGAAACTTTTCGAAAAAATGGTGTTCGCGCGAATTCTTTTATTAGAATTCTTTCGAAAAACCGTAAATGGCTTTTAGATTGTTTTGAATGTTTTATGATTAGGGAAAACTGTTTACAAAGTTAAAACCAAGTTCGAAATGTTTAAAAACTATGAAATTCTTTTAGAAATGGTTACAAACATTTCAAAAAAATTCGAAACAATGGGAGCAAACACCCGCACGGTGACATGGAATGGACTCTAAATAGATGTTCATAATTGTTTGTATGCAAGCCACCAGTGTAGAGGCCAAGGTCAAGTTCGAAAACAGGCCTCGTGGGGGGTCCCAATGTCGCTGCAGTGGACCTTTTGTGTTAGATATATAATGATTTATCCCCACCAACCACTGCATTGATTCAGATGCGAGACAGCTGTTCTCTCCCCATCTGTTTTCAATTACATACAATGGAGGGGCTGTCCTATAAATACTGTGGGGGAGGGAAACTTGGACATGCCTCAGGCAGGTCATTCCCTAAATTGTAAGGCCAGACCAAGTAATTTTTATGGATGATGTCCACTGGAGACCTTAAATTTATTGCAAAAGCGCCATAAAATACATGAAGGGAAAGGCCAAAAAAAATCTGATTAATCTGCATAGATTTGGAGCATAATACTAACTGTAAAAATACAAAAGTTAGGACACAAATTGAAATAACAAACGCAAACAGCTATAAATCCCCCCTGTTCTGATTCTTTCCTTTCATCACATCTTCTCATTACATTTTGCAACACTGTCGTGATACTCTGATCATAATACAGAAGCAGAATTTTTGGTAACATTTTTTCCAGTAACAGTCCAAAATCAAATAACTTAGGGGGGCCTAAAACGGTGACAGTGCATCTGTAAATCTGTGGCAAACCCTTTCGGGGTGTTCTGTAGAATAAAAAAAGGAAAAAAGGAGTACCTAGATTCCTTTGTACTCTACACCAAATTGATTTCTAGTAATAAAAAAATGTTCGTTTATCTAGAACAATGTCCCTCTGACGAAGACATGAGATCTCCGACCTCTAGTTCGACATGAAATAATGTATTACATAGTCCTGTGACTGTAAGAAAAGCAACAGAAAATACTCCGCGAATACTTATGCTATTATGCAATGCCTAACCGGCGCTACTGGATAGTATTTTCTTGGATCAGGAAAACAATGAAACATACTCATCAAAGAGGGTAAAGGTATTCTATAGTGTCAACATAAAGCAGGACAAGAAAATGCTGTTTCCTACTTTCATAACATGACACCACTGCCGTTGACGGATAAAGGTTAAATGGTTCTGTATTTTCTTACGGTTAGCCTGCGGTATTCATGAGGGAAAGCCTATAAATTAATATCAGCAACAATTGACAATCAACTGTAAAAATAATGTCAAAAACTAACGCTACTTGTGACTTCTCGGTAGATATTCATTTGGGAGAACGCGAATATATTTTCCAACACGATCGCAGTACTACACCCAACGGCTCCACCCATAGCTGAGGCGTCGCAAAAAAAGTTTTTGCTATGATAAAGGTCGATAAAGGTTAGGCATCAAGGAAATACGATAACCCCAAAACAATTATCAGTTAGCATAACAGGGTTAGTAACTGAGTAAAGCAACTGTACAAGTAACTGAACAAGCAACTGAGTAAAGAGACTCTTGTTACACAACTACTGGTCTTTTATTCAGCCAACATTTCAGTGGCCGTCTGTCACCTTCCTCAGGACAATTCTGACTGGTTCACATTGCATGCATGCACTACAGCACGGGTGTCGCTGTTTAAATATACTGTTTTTTTTATCGTCTCAAATTCCTGACATATTTTTATCCCCAAAACCTAGTGAGGATGTCTACAGCCATATTCACGCGCGCCATCGTCCGCCAGATTCCTGACTCCATTGAGGACTCAGAGGCACACGTATATAATGAAAAACATGGCCTTTCACCAGTCGAACCAATCGACCTGGAGCAAGCACGTGAAGACCATGCAGTGTACACGCAGACCTTGAGGGATCTGGGGCTAGACGTGACCGTGTTGCCGGCAGACGAGTCTCTCCCCGACTGTCCCTTCGTGGAAGACATCTGTGTGATAGCCGGCAACAGGGCACTGCTGACTCGGCCGTTTTCAGAGACTAGAAGGGGAGAGGTAATACGTTATTATTCGTTTTGATAGGAAGAACTTACAACCTGTATTCTATTCCGAATGGGCCATTGCTTTAAATTTATTTTGCAAATAATGGAATATTACCATAATTGATGTAAACATGCTCTGGTTCATTAACAACAAATGACTAAAACTTTATACCTTTGACATGTTAAATAAGTTAAATGTTAACACCAATATGCATAAATTGTATACATTTGAATAATAAATGTCATGATGATATCTGCTGAAATAATGTGCAAAGTATGTTAGGTTCATATTTAAAATATATTTTGAAGAAAATATTAAAATAGTTAAGAAAACATATTTTGAAGAAAATATTAAAATAGTTAAGAAAACATATTTAAGCTTTAAATATATATATTTTGGTCCATGGAGGCATGGTACATCTTTGCTTATTATCCTTCAAATTAAGTGCATTCCTCAAAATTTAAAGAAATGACCGACAGATAAACAAGATAGAGCTGATCCAATCATTTCATAACGATGAACGTGACGTTAGTCCCTTTTGGTTGTTTATATTTATCTTTCTCTTTAAAGGCCGCTGCCGTGAAGGAGGTATTAATTGATCTTGGACTGGAGGTTCACCAAGTTGATGATGAGGAAGCCTTTTTGGAGGGCGGTAACATCGTATTCACTGGTGCGTAACCGAATTTAATTCTGTTTGTAGTTTTGTCACGGCCGCATCGTAACAAAATGATTGACCAAAACACAGTATTGATAATGATAATAATGACAAGAAACACTAACTACATATACCTAAATAACAACACTATTGAAAGGAAAACATCTGTGTTGTATATATGAATATGAATGTTTTTTTTCAACACGCAAACATAGCATTGGGAATAGCTGAATTGTGTTGTAACATGGCAATAAATTCCGTAAGAGACATGTTCCCATGTATAACACCAGAATAAGACTAGTTTATGTTATTTAGGACATGAGTTCTTCGTTGGTGATTATTCGATCTGCGATATCAACCCTGGTATCGAGTTCATGCGGAAGACGTTCCCGGAGTATCCGGTACACGGCATTCCCCTTGCCGAGCCCGAGTACCACCTGAAGGGGGTCATCTGTATGGCAGCACCGGGAGTCATGACTGTATGGGAGAACGACTGGGGATTTACCGCGTGGGAGGTTTGCGTCAGATTTTCTTATCTTAGAATACGTCATTTCTGACACCCGGAAATCTGTTCCCTGTTTTATTCTCGGTCACATAGCCCAAGGCCACAGTGGTAGTTTGTCCACAAAATTACTGCCTAAAGTATATATATTTTAGACTTATCTGGTCATGTAACGTCTGCATTCGCAGGGTAAGACCAGTACTTACAGGCATCCAATTCAATTTTAGGGTCATTAGACACCTATCATGGGTAACTTGACATGCTTTTGTCTTCTTTGCTTTGAGACCTCTTTGTCTAGTGTGTCTCACTAATATCAAAAGTTACTAAAAATAAATTTTGTTTTAAACAAACCCCCTGGTTTCTCTTGTTACGTTCTTTTTTATTTTGTTCTGCCCCAGGCCTATTAAAACGGGAAAACTAGATTTTCGCTACACAGTCAATTTTTGGTTATTCTTTTCATGTAGTATAATGTTTAATCAATCATATCCCATAACATACAAAGGGTTGCTTGTTTTGTATTGCTGGTCCGAGCATTTTAAGGATGGAACTCGAAAGGGACTACTCTTGTGTTAATCTGAATATTTTTTTTGTTTGGTCGCCCTGAAATTGAG